CAGCCCCCACAGGAGCCACAGCCCCCCTTGCAGCCCCCACAGGAGCCACAGCCTCCCTTGCAGCCCCCACAGGAGCCACAGCCTCCCTTGCAGCCCCCGCAGGAGCCACAGCCCCCCTTGCAGCTCCCGCAGGAGCCACAGCCCCCTTTGCAGCCCCCGCAGGAGCCACAGCTGGAGCAGGAGCAGGAGCAGGCTGGCACACAGCAGCTCATGGTTGTGGTGGTGGAGGGTGGAGGAGGTGAGAGGAGCAGGTGGAGAGAGAGGTGAGTGGTGTGGGGCCTCCTGGCCTGGCCTTTATGTCCCTGTGGGGTCAGGTGTGGACTGGGCACGAGGTCACTTCCTGGTCTGGGGCACATGGTCACTTCCTGGTCCTGTGTGGGCTTTCCCTGGGAAGTTGTGTGTCATTGCAAAGTAACAAGCATGGATGAGTCATGTGGCACACCTCCTGAGACACACTTCCTGGGACAAACCTTGCAGGACAAATGAAGCAGGACACTTGGTGAGCGGGGCTGGGCTCTGTCCCTGCTGCCCGCCGCACTCACCCCTCCATGTGTGCGCTGTTCCAGGCGGTCTTGAACAACAGCAGGCTCTCCACGGGCTCCCTGGTCTTGGGGTTTCATGTAGTCAGAGTTCTGGGCCTGCTCTTGACGCTAGATCCTGTCTGAGAGAGAAAGTTCTGGAGCAGTCACTCTCCCCTATGCTGGTGGTCTGGGACCCTGTGGCCTGGGCTCTGGGGCTCCTTCCCCTGAGCTTCCTTGGCGACTTTCTTGCTGTGCCATCGTGCGTCATTCTCCGGCGTGCGGCCGGCCTGGGGCTCTAGTTTTTTCAAGATTTGTCCCTCGGGTTTATTCTTTCAAAGAGTGCTGCTTCATCCATTGCTCTGCACTATTATTCCATTTTTCACTCATCAGCTCTGATGTTTTGTAAAATAATTCTTGTTACTTTAAAGGGGATGCCAAAGTGGTTATAGTTGCATAGATCAGGAAGAGTTCATTTCATTTTGGACAGTGTCATCCCTGCCCTCAGTCTGTCCTAGATTTTCCTTCTGCCCCTGCCCACAAGTTCTAGAGTCCATTTTCCACGTTGTGTCCAGTGAGGAACACGGCTGCATTTGTCCAGCCTTTGCTCGGTTCTGATCTTCATTGTCTCTGTCCTTCTGCTGACTTGGGGCTGGGCTTGCTCTTCCTTCTCTTCAGTCGTGGATGGGCATGCTTAGCTCTGATCTTTCATGTAGGTTCCCATCGCTACAAACCTTCCTTCTACCCCTCGTTTCATTGCTGTGGAATTGCAAACACTGAAAAGTGTCATCTTTACTTCCATTTGATTCTAGGAAGCCTTTTGTTCCCCTCTCCTCCTTCTTCAATGAAAGGTCTATTGGGTGAGTGTGTTTTCTCTCTGTGATGTCTTTTTGTCTTCTTCTACTATGATACTGTGGCTGTAAGGAAATAGTTATTTTCTACTTGTTGGAAGACATGGGCTGAAGTGTGATCTATTTGGAGTCATTCCATGGTTGGCTTAGAAGAGGGAGCATGCTGGGGCTCCGCGTGGACTAGACCGCAGACATCTGCTGAGGCCTTCAGCCTAACGCTGACTTGCCTTCTGTAAGGTGTATCCAGTAGGTAGTTTCACTAGGTAACGCATGAAGAGAACCCCACTCTGTATTCAGACAGGAAAAGAAGTGTATTTACCACCCTGCTGCTCCCGCGGTGCATGGAGGAGAGGCATGGCGGAAAGGGGAGACTCACCCCAGGCCAGGACTTATCTGGGCCAGGGATGGGAAAAGGTGTGGCCACGTGAGGAAAGGTCTGGCCACACTGGATCTGGATGTGACTTCAGGGCCTAGGATCCTCCTATGGTCAGATGGGAGCCAAGACCACCGGCAGCCCAGGATGTGATCTAGCAGGAGGGGCAGTGACTGCTTCCAGGTGTGCTGGTTCCCTAGGTAACAGACATTGGGGGGAGACTTAGCCAGGAGGTGGGGAGGTCTCTGCCCAGGGCCAGCTTGCCCCAGGGCAGACATGACACCTTTGTTAGATTTTTGGAGGGGTGTCGGGATCATCTCTGGGTAGAGTGGGGTATTGAAATCTCCTACTTTTGAAAAAAAATCAAGGATTGATTAATTGTTTTTTCCGCCACAAAGACGCTGGGAAAAGTCACACAAAGAAAAGATTTCTTGCTCCCCATGAAGTCTCATTGCATCTAGACCTTCTGTTATTTTATGCCCTGCAGTGGTTTTATCTTGTGCAGCATTTAATGCTGTCTCTTTTTGATTGCTGTTTGTCTGGGTGGATGACTCCTTTTATGCCTGTAAACTGGCTTTTATCTTGGGGTGGATTTTGCTTGGAGTCTACATTGGGAGAAATGAGCACAGGTACTTCAGTTACCATCTAGCTTCTCTTCACTGGGCATGTGATCTTCCATCCTTTCCCTCAGCCTGTGAGTGTCTTTGCCAGTGACCCGAGTTTCTTTCCCAGTGACCTGAGTTTCTTTCCACTGAAACTTCTTCTTCTTCTTCTTTTTTTAAAATCGTATCAACCAAGTGTGCGCCTTTTAATTGGAGAGTTAAGACCATTTACCTTGGGGTTATTGTGGACTGTCTTGAGCTGATGGTCATCATTCAGTGTGTCTTTTTCTGCGTATTCTGAATAGTTTTAGTTTTTATATCCTCCTCATTTGTTTTGGGAGTTGGCTGATTTTCATTTTTCATTTTAAGTCTTTTATTGTTATTGTAACGGTGATATATAGGGTTTTACAGTTACATAAGTCAGAAAATGAGTACATTTCTTTGTTATAACTGTGTCTCATCTACCCACATTGTCTCCATTTTTCCCTCCTGAACCCCTCCCCCACAAGTTGTGTACTTTGTTTTCAAAGTGTCTAGTGAATATCACAGCGGCATTTGTTCACCCTTTGTCTCTCCATTTCTGTACCTCCCTTTCCTCCCCCAAACTGATAAACTTACATACAATTCAGAAGGTACAGAAATCAAAAACAGCAACAAAGGAGAAAAAAATAGCAAAATAACCAAACCCTCTTGTTTCCATGTCTTGGAGTTCATTTCAGTACATGGCATTTTATATGATCAGATGCACATAGCTATTGCACCTTTGTGATCCTCTCCTGAGAATATCTGTCTTTCTTCTCACTGTGTGAATGTTTAGAGTCCTGTATAATTTATCCTGCAGTTGACTGTGCATGTGAGTGGAATATGATCTACTCTTTCCCAGTTCTTGTTTGTTCATCCATTCCTCTCGTTATCTATCAGTTCCTCTTTTTGTCCATCTGTCCATCTTGATATTTACCTCTCTCTCTCATTATCCACCTATCCTTCTCATTAGATATCCAGTTGTCTCATGAGCCATCTGTCTCTCGTATTATTTACCTGTTATCATTAGTCACCCGTCCCTCTCATTATCTATTTGTCCCTCTCTTCCATCCATGCCTCCTCAGCATTCCCATCATCTCCAGCTTGCTTTCTCATCTCTGTATGGGATTTCTTTAGTAAATATTCTGATGCCAGCTTTTGGTCCTGAATTGTTTTTGTTTACTTTTATCTCTCCATCAATGTTAAGGGATAATTTTGTTGGATACAGTAATCTTGGTTGGCAGATACTATTTTCAGGACTTGAATTTATGATCCCATATTTTCCTGGATTCTAGGGTTTCTCTTGATTTAGATGTGATGAATTTGCCTTTGTGAGTAACCAAGTCCTCCATGTCCACCCCCCGTCCCCCGATATCATTCCTTGGTTCTGTTTTCTACATTTTAACTGTGATGTGGAGTGGAAGATCTTTTCTGGTCAAGTGTAGTATCTGCTGCTCTAGATACCTCCTGGGTTTCCATGTCTTCCCTAGGGTCACAGAATTTCCTGCTATAATTTCACTGCATAGACGTTCTGTGGCATTTGTAGTTTTCGTTTGCATCTCAGCTCCTTCTTCTGATGCACGGATTCTTAGTTTGGTCTCTTGATCTGTCTCAGAGTACTGGAAAGCTGGCATGTGATTGCTGTTGTTTTGTTTCGGTCTGATTTTCACACTTCCATGACACCATCTTCCTCCCTGTCATCCTTTCTTCTGCTTGATCTAGTCCACTGGCGACACTTTCCATTGAGGCTTTCTATTTTATTTATGGAGTTTTTCAATTCCAATATTCCCATTTTTTCCCTCATAAGTGTGTGTATTTGTGTGTGTGGGTGTTTGTGTGTGTGTGTGCATGTGTGTTGAGTGTGTGTGTTTGCATGTGTTTGTATACAAATCCTGGGGTTTGAACCCAGTGCCTGGGTTTTGTACTCAAGGCTGGTGCTCTACCACTTGAGCCCATATCCACTTCTAACTTTTTGGTGGTTAGTTGGACATAAGGTTGTCACATACTTTCCTACCCCAGCTGGCTTTGGACTATAATCCTCAGATCTCAGCCTCCTGAGGAGCTAGGATTACAGGTGTGAGACACAAGAATCTGGGTTTTCCACTTTATTACCTTCAAATGGTTGCCAAACATGTTTTCCATTTCAAGAGATTTTTCTCTTTTGCTGCTTTTCTTTTTAAAATGGTTTCCATTTAGCATGTGTATTTATGTGGGCACTGCATCCTATCAATTCTGCTTTTTGTTTCTTTTTTTTTGTTTGTTTCCTGTTGTTGTTTTCAGGATCTCAACTTGCCTTCTGTATTTCTCATCTCAGCTGCTGAATTTCTTCTTATTTCAAATTAGCTTTCCAACTCTATCCATTTATTTGACTCCTCTTTGAGGCCATTGACCATTTCTAATCTAGACTTTGAGCTCCTTGGGTGGCATTTCAGCTCCTGGGATGCAATGGGTTTCATCACTAGGGGAGGTAAACATTTGAAGGCTCCATAGAGGGTACAAATGAACACAGGATGTGCTTTCCTTGCATTTTGGGATTTCTGCCTTGTGATCTTTGCTTCCTTTTTGGGGAGCCTTTCACAGCCCCAGGATGCCAGGCTGGGCTGAGGGATGAGTGCACACACAGAGCATGGAGGCCCTATGTGGGACTCCGGATGCTGGGGGGAGGGGTTGGCATGACTTGTGCCAGCCACGTGTCCCGCTCAATTTCCTGGCAGGCCAGCTCTGTCCAGTGCCCTGAGGGATGGTGGGAAAAGGGCAAAGGAACCAGACAGCACCCTGGCCAGCAGGTTCTCCAGCCCAGGGATCCCACCATGCAAGATCAGAGGCTCAGTAGGTCCCGGGCTCCCCAGGCCCTCCACACACAGAATCAGGGGATTAGCTGGCTCTCCAGCTCCAGGCCCTATCCTGTGGCATCAGGAGTGAGGGGTCCTGGAGAGCTCCATACTTGGGAATGCTCACATGTGCTGTTGGGGCTCACAGTGTGTCAACCATTAGGGGTTGTGGGCGCTTGAGGGGGCTGGCGGGTCTGTTAGGTCAGATGGAGGTGGATGTGGGTCTGGTCAGCTCTCAGGGAGTGGTGGGGTGAGGGCATGGGCCTCCTGTCCTCTCCACAGAGCTGTGAGATGGGTGAGGGGCCTTCGCTGTCCCACTCTCAGCCTTGGAACTGTGAGCCAAGTCCACCTCTTTCCTCCATTATTTCATTTTACCAACAGAAAGCAGACTAATAATAAAAGCAGCACCATTCCCCAAGTCTGAAGGGTCCTGAAAGGAGGTACCCGGCCTCTGGGAAGGTCGACGGGGCAGTGATGCTCTGTTGGGGCTTAAGAACATTTCTTGGTGCTGTTCGATACTACCCATGCTATGTTTGCAATCTTTGGAAATAGCCCAAATGAGCTGAGTGCTGGTGGGTCACACCTGCTATCCTAGCTCCTCCCAAGGCTGAGATCTGGAGGGTCATGGTTCAAGATCTGCCTGGACAGAAAAGTTTCTAGATTCTATCTGCAAAATCATGAGCAAAATAGCAGGGTGGTTGTATGGTTCCAATGGTAGAGTACTAGCAGAGCAAGTGCAAGGCCCTGAGTTCAAACCCACGTATTGCAAAAAAGTTAGAAGAAAGGAAGGGAGAAAGAGAGAGAGAAATAAAGGAGAAAGAGCAGGAAGGAAGGAAGGAAGGAAGGAAGGAAGGAAGGAAGGAAGGAAGGAAGGAAGGAAGGAAGGAAGGAAGGAAGGAAGGAAGGAGAAAGAGGAAGACCAAATAATTTTTAAGTAAGTGTTGTGAGTGGAGGCAGACCTGCCTTGCTGTGGTCTTTCAAGACCTGCAATACGTAGGAGGCTGTAAAAGGCTAGATAACTGCAGGACTGCCAGGAGAGGCACCCAGTAATTGAAAGCAATTTTCTTTCCAGGTATCTCTGATCTTCAAAGGAGAAGAGCTGGGGGGAGGTTGGCACTGGGAGAGTTATGCATGTTCCATGCAGAATGGAGAAAACACTCCTCAAGACTCCATAGGTTTCTTGTGTTGTTTGGCCTTGTTGTTGTTGTTGTGTTCAGGTACCAAGGCTAGAGCTCAGGGCCTCACACGCTCACTCAGCTGTTTTGCTCATGGCTGTGGCCCTATGGCTTGAGCCACACCTCAGGTGTTGTATTTTGCTGGCTAACTGGCGATCGAGTCAAGCAGACTTTTCTGCCCCAGCAGACGTTGAATTGATCTCTTCAGATCTCAGGCTCCTGAAGCAGCTAGGATTACAGGAACCAGTCACCAGCATCTGGCTCACAAGGCTCCATCTTGACAGAAGTAACTGTGTGTGGTAGTGCATACTTGTTATCCGGGCACACTCCAGGCTCACACAGGCTCAGCCTCCTCTCAGGAAGACCTGGGCTTGGGCAGGGGCCCAGGCAGCTTGGCCCAGGCAGCATGCCCATCTTTCCTCCCTGGCCACCCATGCCCTGGACCCCGAGGCTCCACCTCGGCCTGCCAGGGACCACCGCCCCTGGATGAATGAAGAATCAAAGAACTGTACTTTATTAGTCAGATTGAAGCTCATATAATATAAATAAATAAGTAAAGCTCACGACAAGAATTAGACCATGCTTTGAAAAGCTTTTTATTTAAGGACGCCACAGCATCCTGTTGGACATGGTAGGGGGAGGATGAGAGAGACAAAGCTGCGGGTGGGGGGAAGGAGGGAGAAGAAGGACAGGGGAAAGAAGGAAAAAGGGACAGGGAGGAGGCAGAAGGAAGAAAGAGAGGGAAAATGGAGAAAGGGAAGTGAGAGAGAGGGAGGGAAGAAGAGAGAAAGGGAGAGAAGAAGATAGGGAGGGCAGCAGGCAGGGAGAGAGGAAAGGAGAGAGGGAGGGAAGGAAGGAGGCAGGCAGGGAGGCAGGCAGGGAGGGAGAGAGCAGTGTCAGGACCAGTGTTGAACAGCTGGAGGAGTCAGGGATGCTCTGGCAAGGCTGATCCAGGGGTTCAGGGCGCTTAAAGGACCAAGAGGGCTGAGGGTGTTGGCTCTTGAGAAGGGGTGGGTCAGCAAAGACAGCAGGACCAGCTTGGGCTCTGCCCCTGGGCAGGGCTCCCTGCTAGCGCCCTGAATGCTGGCTCTGCAGGAGGCCAGGGTTCTGGAGCATAGTGGGGGTGGAGCTTCAGGTCTGTGAGAAGCAGCAAGACCTTTGCTGAGAAACCCAACTGTTCCAGCTTACCTGTGTCTGTGATCAGAGCCTCAGACCTTGCACTGGCAGCACACGGGGGCACAGCAGCTGGAGCAGCAGGGTTTGCAACAGCTGGACTGGCAACAGCAGGGCTTGCAACAGCTGGACTGGCAGCAGCAGGGCTTGCAACAGCAGGACTCACAGCAGCAGGGCTTGCAACAGCTGGACTGGCAGCAGCAGGGTTTACAACAACTGGACTGGCAGCAGCAGGGCTTGCAACAGCAGGACTCACAGCAACAAGGTTTACAACAGCAGGATTCACAGCAGCAGGGTTTGCAACAGCAGGACTCACAGCAGCAGGGTTTGCAACAGCAGGATGGGCAGCAGCAGGGTTTGCAACAGCAGGACTCACAGCAGCAGGGTTTGCAACAGCAGGACTCACAGCAGCAGGGTTTGCAACAGCTGGACTGACAGCAGCAGGGTTTGCAACAGCTGGATTTGCAGCCCCCACAAGAACCACAGCCCCCCTTGCAGCCCCCACAGGAGCCACAGCCCCCCTTGCAGCCCCCACAGGAGCCACAGCCTCCCTTGCAGCCCCCACAGGAGCCACAGCCTCCCTTGCAGCCCCCGCAGGAGCCACAGCCCCCCTTGCAGCTCCCGCAGGAGCCACAGCCCCCTTTGCAGCCCCCGCAGGAGCCACAGCTGGAGCAGGAGCAGGAGCAGGCTGGCACACAGCAGCTCATGGTTGTGGTGGTGGAGGGTGGAGGAGGTGAGAGGAGCAGGTGGAGAGAGAGGTGAGTGGTGTGGGGCCTCCTGGCCTGGCCTTTATGTCCCTGTGGGGTCAGGTGTGGACTGGGCACGAGGTCACTTCGTGGTCTGGGGCACATGGTCACTTCCTGGTCCTGTGTGGGCTTTCCCTGGGAAGTTGTGTGTCATTGCAAAGTAACAAGCATGGATGAGTCATGTGGCACACCTCCTGAGACACACTTCCTGGGACAAACCTTGCAGGACAAATGAAGCAGGACACTTGGTGAGCGGGGCTGGGCTCTGTCCCTGCTGCCCGCCGCACTCACCCCTCCATGTGTGCGCTGTTCCAGGCGGTCTTGAACAACAGCAGGCTCTCCACGGGCTCCCTGGTCTTGGGGTTTCATGTAGTCAGAGTTCTGGGCCTGCTCTTGACGCTAGATCCTGTCTGAGAGAGAAAGTTCTGGAGCAGTCACTCTCCCCTTTGCTGGTGGTCTGGGACCCTGTGGCCTGGGCTCTGGGGCTCCTTCCCCTGAGCTTCCTTGGCAACTTTCTTGCTGTGCCATCGTGCGTCATTCTCCGGCGTGCGGCCGGCCTGGGGCTCTAGTTTTTTCAAGATTTGTCCCTCGGGTTTATTCTTTCAAAGAGTGCTGCTTCATCCATTGCTCTGCACTATTATTCCATTTTTCACTCATCAGCTCTGATGTTTTGTAAAATAATTCTTGTTACTTTAAAGGGGATGCCAAAGTGGTTATAGTTGCATAGATCAGGAAGAGTTCATTTCATTTTGGACAGTGTCATCCCTGCCCTCAGTCTGTCCTAGATTTTCCTTCTGCCCCTGCCCACAAGTTCTAGAGTCCATTTTCCACGTTGTGTCCAGTGAGGAACACGGCTGCATTTGTCCAGCCTTTGCTCGGTTCTGATCTTCATTGTCTCTGTCCTTCTGCTGACTTGGGGCTGGGCTTGCTCTTCCTTCTCTTCAGTCGTGGATGGGCATGCTTAGCTCTGATCTTTCATGTAGGTTCCCATCGCTACAAACCTTCCTTCTACCCCTCGTTTCATTGCTGTGGAATTGCAAACACTGAAAAGTGTCATCTTTACTTCCATTTGATTCTAGGAAGCCTTTTGTTCCCCTCTCCTCCTTCTTCAATGAAAGGTCTATTGGGTGAGTGTGTTTTCTCTCTGTGATGTCTTTTTGTCTTCTTCTACTATGATACTGTGGCTGTAAGGAAATAGTCAGTTATTTTCTACTTGTTGGAAGACATGGGCTGAAGTGTGATCTATTTGGAGTCATTCCATGGTTGGCTTAGAAGAGGGAGCATGCTGGGGCTCCGCGTGGACTAGACCGCAGACATCTGCTGAGGCCTTCAGCCTAACGCTGACTTGCCTTCTGTAAGGTGTATCCAGTAGGTAGTTTCACTAGGTAACGCATGAAGAGAACCCCACTCTGTATTCAGACAGGAAAAGAAGTGTATTTACCACCCTGCTGCTCCCGCGGTGCATGGACAGAGGCATGGCGGAAAGGGGAGACTCACCCCAGGCCAGGACTTATCTGGGCCAGGGATGGGAAAAGGTGTGGCCACGTGAGGAAAGGTCTGGCCACACTGGATCTGGATGTGACTTCAGGGCCTAGGATCCTCCTATGGTCAGATGGGAGCCAAGACCACCGGCAGCCCAGGATGTGATCTAGCAGGAGGGGCAGTGACTGCTTCCAGGTGTGCTGGTTCCCTAGGTAACAGACATTGGGGGGAGACTTAGCCAGGAGGTGGGGAGGTCTCTGCCCAGGGCCAGCTTGCCCCAGGGCAGACATGACACCTTTGTTAGATTTTTGGAGGGGTGTCGGGATCATCTCTGGGTAGAGTGGGGTATTGAAATCTCCTACTTTTGAAAAAAAATCAAGGATTGATTAATTGTTTTTTCCGCCACAAAGACGCTGGGAAAAGTCACACAAAGAAAAGATTTCTTGCTCCCCATGAAGTCTCATTGCATCTAGACCTTCTGTTATTTTATGCCCTGCAGTGGTTTTATCTTGTGCAGCATTTAATGCTGTCTCTTTTTGATTGCTGTTTGTCTGGGTGGATGACTCCTTTTATGCCTGTAAACTGGCTTTTATCTTGGGGTGGATTTTGCTTGGAGTCTACATTGGGAGAAATGAGCACAGGTACTTCAGTTACCATCTAGCTTCTCTTCACTGGGCATGTGATCTTCCATCCTTTCCCTCAGCCTGTGAGTGTCTTTGCCAGTGACCCGAGTTTCTTTCCCAGTGACCTGAGTTTCTTTCCACTGAAACTTCTTCTTCTTCTTCTTTTTTTAAAATCGTATCAACCAAGTGTGCGCCTTTTAATTGGAGAGTTAAGACCATTTACCTTGGGGTTATTGTGGACTGTCTTGAGCTGATGGTCATCATTCAGTGTGTCTTTTTCTGCGTATTCTGAATAGTTTTAGTTTTTATATCCTCCTCATTTGTTTTGGGAGTTGGCTGATTTTCATTTTTCATTTTAAGTCTTTTATTGTTATTGTAACGGTGATATATAGGGTTTTACAGTTACATAAGTCAGAAAATGAGTACATTTCTTTGTTATAACTGTGTCTCATCTACCCACATTGTCTCCATTTTTCCCTCCTGAACCCCTCCCCCACAAGTTGTGTACTTTGTTTTCAAAGTGTCTAGTGAATATCACAGCGGCATTTGTTCACCCTTTGTCTCTCCATTTCTGTACCTCCCTTTCCTCCCCCAAACTGATAAACTTACATACAATTCAGAAGGTACAGAAATCAAAAACAGCAACAAAGGAGAAAAAAATAGCAAAATAACCAAACCCTCTTGTTTCCATGTCTTGGAGTTCATTTCAGTACATGGCATTTTATATGATCAGATGCACATAGCTATTGCACCTTTGTGATCCTCTCCTGAGAATATCTGTCTTTCTTCTCACTGTGTGAATGTTTAGAGTCCTGTATAATTTATCCTGCAGTTGACTGTGCATGTGAGTGGAATATGATCTACTCTTTCCCAGTTCTTGTTTGTTCATCCATTCCTCTCGTTATCTATCAGTTCCTCTTTTTGTCCATCTGTCCATCTTGATATTTACCTCTCTCTCTCATTATCCACCTATCCTTCTCATTAGATATCCAGTTGTCTCATGAGCCATCTGTCTCTCGTATTATTTACCTGTTATCATTAGTCACCCGTCCCTCTCATTATCTATTTGTCCCTCTCTTCCATCCATGCCTCCTCAGCATTCCCATCATCTCCAGCTTGCTTTCTCATCTCTGTATGGGATTTCTTTAGTAAATATTCTGATGCCAGCTTTTGGTCCTGAATTGTTTTTGTTTACTTTTATCTCTCCATCAATGTTAAGGGATAATTTTGTTGGATACAGTAATCTTGGTTGGCAGATACTATTTTCAGGACTTGAATTTATGATCCCATATTTTCCTGGATTCTAGGGTTTCTCTTGATTTAGATGTGATGAATTTGCCTTTGTGAGTAACCAAGTCCTCCATGTCCACCCCCCGTCCCCCGATATCATTCCTTGGTTCTGTTTTCTACATTTTAACTGTGATGTGGAGTGGAAGATCTTTTCTGGTCAAGTGTAGTATCTGCTGCTCTAGATACCTCCTGGGTTTCCATGTCTTCCCTAGGGTCACAGAATTTCCTGCTATAATTTCACTGCATAGACGTTCTGTGGCATTTGTAGTTTTCGTTTGCATCTCAGCTCCTTCTTCTGATGCACGGATTCTTAGTTTGGTCTCTTGATCTGTCTCAGAGTACTGGAAAGCTGGCATGTGATTGCTGTTGTTTTGTTTCGGTCTGATTTTCACACTTCCATGACACCATCTTCCTCCCTGTCATCCTTTCTTCTGCTTGATCTAGTCCACTGGCGACACTTTCCATTGAGGCTTTCTATTTTATTTATGGAGTTTTTCAATTCCAATATTCCCATTTTTTCCCTCATAAGTGTGTGTATTTGTGTGTGTGGGTGTTTGTGTGTGTGTGTGTGCATGTGTGTTGAGTGTGTGTGTTTGCATGTGTTTGTATACAAATCCTGGGGTTTGAACCCAGTGCCTGGGTTTTGTACTCAAGGCTGGTGCTCTACCACTTGAGCCCATATCCACTTCTAACTTTTTGGTGGTTAGTTGGACATAAGGTTGTCACATACTTTCCTACCCCAGCTGGCTTTGGACTATAATCCTCAGATCTCAGCCTCCTGAGGAGCTAGGATTACAGGTGTGAGACACAAGAATCTGGGTTTTCCACTTTATTACCTTCAAATGGTTGCCAAACATGTTTTCCATTTCAAGAGATTTTTCTCTTTTGCTGCTTTTCTTTTTAAAATGGTTTCCATTTAGCATGTGTATTTATGTGGGCACTGCATCCTATCAATTCTGCTTTTTGTTTCTTTTTTTTTGTTTGTTTCCTGTTGTTGTTTTCAGGATCTCAACTTGCCTTCTGTATTTCTCATCTCAGCTGCTGAATTTCTTCTTATTTCAAATTAGCTTTCCAACTCTATCCATTTATTTGACTCCTCTTTGAGGCCATTGACCATTTCTAATCTAGACTTTGAGCTCCTTGGGTGGCATTTCAGCTCCTGGGATGCAATGGGTTTCATCACTAGGGGAGGTAAACATTTGAAGGCTCCATAGAGGGTACAAATGAACACAGGATGTGCTTTCCTTGCATTTTGGGATTTCTGCCTTGTGATCTTTGCTTCCTTTTTGGGGAGCCTTTCACAGCCCCAGGATGCCAGGCTGGGCTGAGGGATGAGTGCACACACAGAGCATGGAGGCCCTATGTGGGACTCCGGATGCTGGGGGGAGGGGTTGGCATGACTTGTGCCAGCCACGTGTCCCGCTCAATTTCCTGGCAGGCCAGCTCTGTCCAGTGCCCTGAGGGATGGTGGGAAAAGGGCAAAGGAACCAGACAGCACCCTGGCCAGCAGGTTCTCCAGCCCAGGGATCCCACCATGCAAGATCAGAGGCTCAGTAGGTCCCGGGCTCCCCAGGCCCTCCACACACAGAATCAGGGGATTAGCTGGCTCTCCAGCTCCAGGCCCTATCCTGTGGCATCAGGAGTGAGGGGTCCTGGAGAGCTCCATACTTGGGAATGCTCACATGTGCTGTTGGGGCTCACAGTGTGTCAACCATTAGGGGTTGTGGGCGCTTGAGGGGGCTGGCGGGTCTGTTAGGTCAGATGGAGGTGGATGTGGGTCTGGTCAGCTCTCAGGGAGTGGTGGGGTGAGGGCATGGGCCTCCTGTCCTCTCCACAGAGCTGTGAGATGGGTGAGGGGCCTTCGCTGTCCCACTCTCAGCCTTGGAACTGTGAGCCAAGTCCACCTCTTTCCTCCATTATTTCATTTTACCAACAGAAAGCAGACTAATAATAAAAGCAGCACCATTCCCCAAGTCTGAAGGGTCCTGAAAGGAGGTACCCGGCCTCTGGGAAGGTCGACGGGGCAGTGATGCTCTGTTGGGGCTTAAGAACATTTCTTGGTGTTGTTCGATACTACCCATGCTATGTTTGCAATCATTGGAAATAGCCCAAATAAGCTGAGTGCTTGTGGGTCACACCTGCTATCCTAGCTCCTCCCAAGGCTGAGATCTGGAGGGTCATGGTTCAAGATCTGCCTGGACAGAAAAGTTTCTAGATTCTATCTGCAAAATCATGAGCAAAATAGCAGGGTGGTTGTATGGTTCCAATGGTAGAGTACTAGCAGAGCAAGTGCAAGGCCCTGAGTTCAAACCCACGTATTGCAAAAAAGTTAGAAGAAAGGAAGGGAGAAAGAGAGAGAGAAATAAAGGAGAAAGAGCAGGAAGGAAGGAAGGAAGGAAGGAAGGAAAGAAGGAAGGAAGGAAGGAAGGAAGGAAGGAAGGAAGGAAGGAAGGAAGGAAGGAAGGAAGGAAGGAAGGAAGGAGAAAGAGGAAGACCAAATAATTTTTAAGTAAGTGTTGTGAGTGGAGGCAGACCTGCCTTGCTGTGGTCTTTCAAGACCTGCAATACGTAGGAGGCTGTAAAAGGCTAGATAACTGCAGGACTGCCAGGAGAGGCACCCAGTAATTGAAAGCAATTTTCTTTCCAGGTATCTCTGATCTTCAAAGGAGAAGAGCTGGGGGGAGGTTGGCACTGGGAGAGTTATGCATGTTCCATGCAGAATGGAGAAAACACTCCTCAAGACTCCATAGGTTTCTTGTGTTGTTTGGCCTTGTTGTTGTTGTTGTGTTCAGGTACCAAGGCTAGAGCTCAGGGCCTCACACGCTCACTCAGCTGTTTTGCTCATGGCTGTGGCCCTATGGCTTGAGCCACACCTCAGGTGTTGTATTTTGCTGGCTAACTGGCGATCGAGTCAAGCAGACTTTTCTGCCCCAGCAGACGTTGAATTGATCTCTTCAGATCTCAGGCTCCTGAAGCAGCTAGGATTACAGGAACCAGTCACCAGCATCTGGCTCACAAGGCTCCATCTTGACAGAAGTAACTGTGTGTGGTAGTGCATACTTGTTATCCGGGCACACTCCAGGCTCACACAGGCTCAGCCTCCTCTCAGGAAGACCTGGGCTTGGGCAGGGGCCCAGGCAGCTTGGCCCAGGCAGCATGCCCATCTTTCCTCCCTGGCCACCCATGCCCTGGACCCCGAGGCTCCACCTCGGCCTGCCAGGGACCACCGCCCCTGGATGAATGAAGAATCAAAGAACTGTACTTTATTAGTCAGATTGAAGCTCATATAATATAAATAAATAAGTAAAGCTCACGACAAGAATTAGACCATGCTTTGAAAAGCTTTTTATTTAAGGACGCCACAGCATCCTGTTGGACATGGTAGGGGGAGGATGAGAGAGACAAAGCTGCGGGTGGGGGGAAGGAGGGAGAAGAAGGACAGGGGAAAGAAGGAAAAAGGGACAGGGAGGAGGCAGAAGGAAGAAAGAGAGGGAAAATGGAGAAAGGGAAGTGAGAGAGAGGGAGGGAAGAAGAGAGAAAGGGAGAGAAGAAGATAGGGAGGGCAGCAGGCAGGGAGAGAGGAAAGGAGAGAGGGAGGGAAGGAAGGAGGCAGGCAGGGAGGCAGGCAGGGAGGGAGAGAGCAGTGTCAGGACCAGTGTTGAACAGCTGGAGGAGTCAGGGATGCTCTGGCAAGGCTGATCCAGGGGTTCAGGGCGCTTAAAGGACCAAGAGGGCTGAGGGTGTTGGCTCTTGAGAAGGGGTGGGTCAGCAAAGACAGCAGGACCAGCTTGGGCTCTGCCCCTGGGCAGGGCTCCCTGCTAGCGCCCTGAATGCTGGCTCTGCAGGAGGCCAGGGTTCTGGAGCATAGTGGGGGTGGAGCTTCAGGTCTGTGAGAAGCAGCAAGACCTTTGCTGAGAAACCCAACTGTTGCAGCTTACCTGTGTCTGTGATCAGAGCCTCAGACCTTGCACTGGCAGCACACGGGGGCACAGCAGCTGGAGCAGCAGGGTTTGCAACAGCTGGACTGGCAACAGCAGGGCTTGCAACAGCTGGACTGGCAGCAGCAGGGCTTGCAACAGCAGGACTCACAGCAGCAGGGCTTGCAACAGCTGGACTGGCAGCAGCAGGGTTTACAACAACTGGACTGGCAGCAGCAGGGCTTGCAACAGCAGGACTCACAGCAACAAGGTTTACAACAGCAGGATTCACAGCAGCAGGGTTTGCAACAGCAGGACTCACAGCAGCAGGGTTTGCAACAGCAGGATGGGCAGCAGCAGGGTTTGCAACAGCAGGACTCACAGCAGCAGGGTTTGCAACAGCTGGACTCACAGCAGCAGGGTTTGCAACAGCTGGACTGACAGCAGCAGGGTTTGCAACAGCTGGATTTGCAGCCCCCACAAGAACCACAGCCCCCCTTGCAGCCCCCACAGGAGCCACAGCCCCCCTTGCAGCCCCCACAGGAGCCACAGCCTCCCTTGCAGCCCCCACAGGAGCCACAGCCTCCCTTGCAGCCCCCGCAGGAGCCACAGCCCCCCTTGCAGCTCCCGCAGGAGCCACAGCCCCCTTTGCAGCCCCCGCAGGAGCCACAGCTGGAGCAGGAGCAGGAGCAGGCTGGCACACAGCAGCTCATGGTTGTGGTGGTGGAGGGTGGAGGAGGTGAGAGGAGCAGGTGGAGAGAGAGGTGAGTGGTGTGGGGCCTCCTGGCCTGGCCTTTATGTCCCTGTGGGGTCAGGTGTGGACTGGGCACGAGGTCACTTCCTGGTCTGGGGCACATGGTCACTTCCTGGTCCTGTGTGGGCTTTCCCTGGGAAGTTGTGTGTCATTGCAAAGTAACAAGCATGGATGAGTCATGTGGCACACCTCCTGAGACACACTTCCTGGGACAAACCTTGCAGGACAAATGAAGCAGGACACTTGGTGAGCGGGGCTGGGCTCTGTCCCTGCTGCCCGCCGCACTCACCCCTCCATGTGTGCGCTGTTCCAGGCGGTCTTGAACAACAGCAGGCTCTCCACGGGCTCCCTGGTCTTGGGGTTTCATGTAGTCAGAGTTCTGGGCCTGCTCTTGACGCTAGATCCTGTCTGAGAGAGAAAGTTCTGGAGCAGTCACTCTCCCCTATGCTGGTGGTCTGGGACCCTGTGGCCTGGGCTCTGGGGCTCCTTCCCCTGAGCTTCCTTGGCGACTTTCTTGCTGTGCCATCGTGCGTCATTCTCCGGCGTGCGGCCGGCCTGGGGCTCTAGTTTTTTCAAGATTTGTCCCTCGGGTTTATTCTTTCAAAGAGTGCTGCTTCATCCATTGCTCTGCACTATTATTCCATTTTTCACTCATCAGCTCTGATGTTTTGTAAAATAATTCTTGTTACTTTAAAGGGGATGCCAAAGTGGTTATAGTTGCATAGATCAGGAAGAGTTCATTTCATTTTGGACAGTGTCATCCCTGCCCTCAGTCTGTCCTAGATTTTCCTTCTGCCCCTGCCCACAAGTTCTAGAGTCCATTTTCCACGTTGTGTCCAGTGAGGAACACGGCTGCATTTGTCCAGCCTTTGCTCGGTTCTGATCTTCATTGTCTCTGTCCTTCTGCTGACTTGGGGCTGGGCTTGCTCTTCCTTCTCTTCAGTCGTGGATGGGCATGCTTAGCTCTGATCTTTCATGTAGGTTCCCATCGCTACAAACCTTCCTTCTACCCCTCGTTTCATTGCTGTGGAATTGCAAACACTGAAAAGTGTCATCTTTACTTCCATTTGATTCTAGGAAGCCTTTTGTTCCCCTCTCCTCCTTCTTCAATGAAAGGTCTATTGGGTGAGTGTGTTTTCTCTCTGTGATGTCTTTTTGTCTTCTTCTACTATGATACTGTGGCTGTAAGGAAATAGTTATTTTCTACTTGTTGGAAGACATGGGCTGAAGTGTGATCTATTTGGAGTCATTCCATGGTTGGCTTAGAAGAAGGAGCATGCTGGGGCTCCGCGTGGACTAGACCGCAGACATCTGCTGAGGCCTTCAGCCTAACGCTGACTTGCCTTCTGTAAGGTGTATCCAGTAGGTAGTTTCACTAGGTAACGCATGAAGAGAACCCCACTCTGTATTCAGACAGGAAAAGAAGTGTATTTACCACCCTGCTGCTCCCGCGGTGCATGGAGGAGAGGCATGGCGGAAAGGGGAGACTCACCCCAGGCCAGGACTTATCTGGGCCAGGGATGGGAAAAGGTGTGGCCACGTGAGGAAAGGTCTGGCCACACTGGATCTGGATGTGACTTCAGGGCCTAGGATCCTCCTATGGTCAGATGGGAGCCAAGACCACCGGCAGCCCAGGATGTGATCTAGCAGGAGGGGCAGTGACTGCTTCCAGGTGTGCTGGTTCCCTAGGTAACAGACATTGGGGGGAGACTTAGCCAGGAGGTGGGGAGGTCTCTGCCCAGGGCCAGCTTGCCCCAGGGCAGACATGACACCTTTGTTAGATTTTTGGAGGGGTGTCGGGATCATCTCTGGGTAGAGTGGGGTATTGAAATCTCCTACTTTTGAAAAAAAATCAAGGATTGATTAATTGTTTTTTCCGCCACAAAGACGCTGGGAAAAGTCACACAAAGAAAAGATTTCTTGCTCCCCATGAAGTCTCATTGCATCTAGACCTTCTGTTATTTTATGCCCTGCAGTGGTTTTATCTTGTGCAGCATTTAATGCTGTCTCTTTTTGATTGCTGTTTGTCTGGGTGGATGACTCCTTTTATGCCTGTAAACTGGCTTTTATCTTGGGGTGGATTTTGCTTGGAGTCTACATTGGGAGAAATGAGCACAGGTACTTCAGTTACCATCTAGCTTCTCTTCACTGGGCATGTGATCTTCCATCCTTTCCCTCAGCCTGTGAGTGTCTTTGCCAGTGACCCGAGTTTCTTTCCCAGTGACCTGAGTTTCTTTCCACTGAAACTTCTTCTTCTTCTTCTTTTTTTAAAATCGTATCAACCAAGTGTGCGCCTTTTAATTGGAGAGTTAAGACCATTTACCTTGGGGTTATTGTGGACTGTCTTGAGCTGATGGTCATCATTCAGTGTGTCTTTTTCTGCGTATTCTGAATAGTTTTAGTTTTTATATCCTCCTCATTTGTTTTGGGAGTTGGCTGATTTTCATTTTTCATTTTAAGTCTTTTATTGTTATTGTAACGGTGATATATAGGGTTTTACAGTTACATAAGTCAGAAAATGAGTACATTTCTTTGTTATAACTGTGTCTCATCTACCCACATTGTCTCCATTTTTCCCTCCTGAACCCCTCCCCCACAAGTTGTGTACTTTGTTTTCAAAGTGTCTAGTGAATATCACAGCGGCATTTGTTCACCCTTTGTCTCTCCATTTCTGTACCTCCCTTTCCTCCCCCAAACTGATAAACTTACATACAATTCAGAAGGTACAGAAATCAAAAACAGCAACAAAGGAGAAAAAAATAGCAAAATAACCAAACCCTCTTGTTTCCATGTCTTGGAGTTCATTTCAGTACATGGCATTTTATATGATCAGATGCACATAGCTATTGCACCTTTGTGATCCTCTCCTGAGAATATCTGTCTTTCTTCTCACTGTGTGAATGTTTAGAGTCCTGTATAATTTATCCTGCAGTTGACTGTGCATGTGAGTGGAATATGATCTACTCTTTCCCAGTTCTTGTTTGTTCATCCATTCCTCTCGTTATCTATCAGTTCCTCTTTTTGTCCATCTGTCCATCTTGATATTTACCTCTCTCTCTCATTATCCACCTATCCTTCTCATTAGATATCCAGTTGTCTCATGAGCCATCTGTCTCTCGTATTATTTACCTGTTATCATTAGTCACCCGTCCCTCTCATTATCTATTTGTCCCTCTCTTCCATCCATGCCTCCTCAGCATTCCCATCATCTCCAGCTTGCTTTCTCATCTCTGTGTGGGATTTCTTTAGTAAATATTCTGATGCCAGCTTTTGGTCCTGAATTGTTTTTGTTTACTTTTATCTCTCCATCAATGTTAAGGGATAATTTTATTGGATACAGTAATCTTGGTTGGCAGGTATTATTTTCAGGACTTGAATTTATGATCCCATATTTTCCTGGATTCTAGGGTTTCTCTTGATTTAGATGTGATGAATTTGCCTTTGTGAGTAACCAAGTCCTCCATGTCCACCCCCCGTCCCCCGATATCATTCCTTGGTTCTGTTTTCTACATTTTAACTGTGATGTGGAGTGGAAGATCTTTTCTGGTCAAGTGTAGTATCTGCTGCTCTAGATACCTCCTGGGTTTCCATGTCTTCCCTAGGGTCACAGAATTTCCTGCTATAATTTCACTGCATAGACGTTCTGTGGCATTTGTAGTTTTCGTTTGCATCTCAGCTCCTTCTTCTGATGCACGGATTCTTAGTTTGGTCTCTTGATCTGTCTCAGAGTACTGGAAAGCTGGCATGTGATTGCTGTTGTTTTGTTTCTGTCTGATTTTCACACTTCCATGACACCATCTTCCTCCCTGTCATCCTTTCTTCTGCTTGATCTAGTCCACTGGCGACACTTTCCATTGAGGCTTTCTATTTTATTTATGGAGTTTTTCAATTCCAATATTCCCATTTTTTCCCTCATAAGTGTGTGTATTTGTGTGTGTGGGTGTTTGTGTGTGTGTGTGTGCATGTGTGTTGAGTGTGTGTGTTTGCATGTGTTTGTATACAAATCCTGGGGTTTGAACCCAGTGCCTGGGTTTTGTACTCAAGGCTGGTGCTCTACCACTTGAGCCCATATCCACTTCTAACTTTTTGGTGGTTAGTTGGACATAAGGTTGTCACATACTTTCCTACCCCAGCTGGCTTTGGACTATAATCCTCAGATCTCAGCCTCCTGAGGAGCTAGGATTACAGGTGTGAGACACAAGAATCTGGGTTTTCCACTTTATTACCTTCAAATGGTTGCCAAACATGTTTTCCATTTCAAGAGATTTTTCTCTTTTGCTGCTTTTCTTTTTAAAATGGTTTCCATTTAGCATGTGTATTTATGTGGGCACTGCATCCTATCAATTCTGTTTTTGGTTTCTTTTTTTTTGTTTGTTTCCTGTTGTTGTTTTCAGGATCTCAACTTGCCTTCTGTATTTCTCATCTCAGCTGCTGAATTTCTTCTTATTTCAAGTTAGCTTTCCAACTCTATCCATTTATTTGACTCCTCTTTGAGGCCATTGACCATTTTTAAACTAGACTTTGAGCTCCTTGGGTGGCATTTCAGCTCCTGGGATGCAATGGGTTTCATCACTAGGGGAGGTAAACATTTGAAGGCTCCATAGAGGGTACAAATGAACACAGGATGTGCTTTCCTTGCATTTTGGGATTTCTGCCTTGTGATCTTTGCTTCCTTTTTGGGGAGCCTTTCACAGCCCAAAGATGCCAGGCTGGGCTGAGGGATGAGTGCACACACAGAGCATGGAGGCCCTATGTGGGACTCCGGATGCTGGGGGGAGGGGTTGGCATGACTTTTGCCAGCCACATGTCCTGCTCAATTTCCTGGCAGGCCAGCTCTGTCCAGTGCCCTGAGGGATGGTGGGAAAAGGGCAAAGGAACCAGACAGCACCCTGGCCAGCAGGTTCTCCAGCCCAGGGATCCCACCATGCAAGATCAGAGGCTCAGTAG